TACCCCCATGCCTGCCGCAATCACACAGCTTCTGGAAGGTGAAAGTATCAGCTTCTCGTGAGTGGTTGTTCACCCCAGGTCTGGGCTTTCATGGAGGGAAATTCTCCTTTCCCCGCCTTTTAAACAGCTTTATTGAGATATAATTCACATTCTCTACAATTCACCCACTTAAAGTGTACAGTTAAGTGGGTTTCAGTATATTCACAAAGTTGGGCGACCATCACAACTATCTAATGCCAGAACATTTTCATCACCCCAGAAAAGCTCTGAGCTCATCAGCAGTCTCTCCCCATTCTCTGCTATTCCCAGCCTCTGACATCCACTAATTTACTTTTTGTCTCTATGGACTTGCCTCTTCTAGACATTTCTTATACATGGAATCACACAGTATGTGGCCTTTTGTATTTTTCACTCAGCATCATGTTTTCAAGGTTCATCCACATTGCAGCATGTCAGTGCTTTGTTCCTTTGTATAGCCAAATACTATTCCATCATATGAATGCACCACATTTTGTTTCTGCTTTTATCCATTATTGGATGGGTGGGTTGTTCCCACCTTCTGGCTATTATGAATAGTACTGTTGTGAACATTCAGGTACAAGTTTTTGTGTGCTCTTGGAATTGCCAGGTTATATGGTAGCTCTATTTCTGACCTTTGAGGAACTGCCAAACTGTTTTCCAGAGTGACTGCACCGTTTTATATTCCCACCAGCAAAGTACGAGGGTTCCAGTTTCTTAACACCTTTACCACCACTTGTTATTGTCCAGCTTTTTGGATTCTAGCCATCTTAGTGGGTGTGAAGTGGTGTCTCAAGTGGTGTTGGTTTGCAGTTTTCCCAGCTGACTAATGATGGTGAGCATCTTTTCTTGTGCTCATTGACCATTTGTATATCTTCTTTGGAAAAGTCTATTCAGATCTTTTGACGGCTTTTAAATTGGGTTATTTGTCTTTCTTTAATTGCACTGTAAGAGTTCTTTGTATATTCTGGATACTCGTCCTTTATCAGAGATACGATTTGCAGACGTTTTCTCCCATTCTGTGGGTTGTCTTTTCACTTCCTTGACGTTGGCATCTGTAGCACAAATTTTTTAATTGTGATGAAGTCCAGTCTATCAATTTGAGAAAACTTTTCCTTTGATGTTCCTTTTTAATAATGTTTTTGGAAAATATTTAAAAACAATTCTCAACAGCCTTATCAATGTAAATTGTATGCTGACTAAAGCAAAAATGCAGTAACTTATCATTTAAGCTTATAATAGGTTTGAATTCTTACCTCTCCACCACTCATAATAGCAGCTCTTTTCCCCCCTATGAGTACCCTAATTGATGAGGAAAATTAACATTTATCACTACTGATGTGACGTAGAAAAGCGTACGCTTTATCGTAAAGAATGCCACATGTATGGGTAGAGGCTATTTGTGCTCTTTTATGTCTGTGAATGGGAAACACGCTATCTGTCTCCTAAACACAAGGGATCCTTTCCGCCCTACCCCTGTGGCGCTCCGAATTTTTGCCATCCCAGACCAGGAGCTCATGTCCCATAGCCTTTCCCTCTTCCGTCTCTTCAGTACCCTGCACTCTGCATTCAGGGCGCAGTTGATTGGTGTGGAAAATGTGATCTCAGTGTGAGTGGACCTTGGGGTTCGGTTCTAAAGCACCAGATAAGGAACAGCCTCATTCCTAAAGCCACCTCGCTCTGGGTTAACATAATGCTTTCTCCCTTTTCCTCTGGTGAGCCCACAGCTGACCAATTCTGCCGTCCAGCTTTCAGAGTTCTTGGTTCGTTCCTTTTTCTGGGTTCAGATGCAGCCCCTCTGTTTCAGGGCATGACTTTCCCCTGTGTTAAGTCTGTCAGCCTGACAGTGTTGTTGGCCTGAGTCTTGCGTAACAGAGCCTCGACCATCATTGTCCATCCCAGCCCTGTCCTTTTTGCCAGGGAGATTGTGCTCGGGTACACTCAACTCTCCAGCCTCTCCTGGTGGACTTTCTGTAGGTCTCGTAAGTCCTGCTGCCTGGGTCAGATCACATCTGTGACTGGGTCCTGGCTTTCTCAGTGCTGCCCCAGGTCACTGTGTGTCCCTGTCCCCATTCCTGTCAGTTAATGCAAACCGATCATGAAGAGAACCGACACTCAGCTTTGTATCCATTTTCCACCAAGGTAGGTCCATGGGGTGTCAAGGGCTAGACTGGTCTGGGAATAAGAATAAGAATCAGAAAAGAGCCTGTTTGTCTCATTAGATCCGGATATGTACGCCAAGAAGAATTGGACCTCATTTCCATCATTTCTGAAAAGAAGGGTTTATTTGATAATATAATAATCTAAGATTCTTTAAGTTTGTAGCATAAAACATATGCCCAAGAAAGGAGGAAAAGGAACTTATTCATGTGTCACCTGTCCCTGTTCCGTCCCTACCAAGGAAATAAAACATATACATTAAAAAAAAAAACAAACACCAAGCCCACCCGTAACCTCCGACCACAATGCCGTTTCTCACTGATGTGCTAGGGTGAAGAACTACACTATAGAATGACAGACAGTATAAAACAACAGGCCCTGTGTCGGTCGTGTATCGCTGGTCCTACCAGGAGGTAAAAACCTTCCAGGTGATACTGGCCTCCCTCGCAGGTCTTGTCGGGTCTAAAGCCCCAGCAGGGTGGTTAGTCTTTTGCCCACTGTTCACCTCTCCCACTGCCACCACCAATTTCCCTGACATAAACACTATTTATTATAATGTATCACCGAGCAGAAATACCGTATCAATCCTGTTCACTAAGTAATAAACCTTCCCATAAATCCAAGCCACCTGAACAGCAACGCTGACCCCTGCACTGCTTCCTGAGGTTTCAGTCACTGGTGCCTTTGCAAGAACAGAACACATTCTGGGTTTTCACCTTGTCAGTTTCAAATAAAAACACTGAGAAAGCGTAGGGAAGCGTCTGGCTGACACAGCTCAGCTCTACCCGCCGGAGTGACCGGCCCTCCCCTTTTTGGCCCTCTCACAGCCACCGAAGACAGTCCTGAGATGGCCGTCAGTTCCGAAGTGGAGGAGGGAGCGCCCGCAGCCCGCGCTCACAGCCCGAGCACCTGGGCTACTTTCACCGGAGTCGGAGAGCGCACGCTGCGATCACTCACCAACGGCAGCACGACTCCTGGGGATGTGGAGCGCTCAGTGGCGACGCCCAGAGACGCGGAGCGCCCCACTCAGCTGGGGAACGTGACGGCGACCTGGGATGCCCACGCGGTCTCGGGTTCACTGGCAGCCTCGCGAGTGCTCGGAGGTGACGGAGGTGATGATGGGCAGCATCTCTTGCCGCGTTCCTTCGGCTCAGGTGTCAATTTGCTTGTGATCCTAGAGTGATCGAGTTCGCTGTCAACCCAGAAAGTGCCTTACCGGCTCCCCGAAGAGGACTTCCCAGGTTCCCCCACCTCCCCACTTGCCCCAGGCCTTTGCGGTGCTGTCTGCCAGGATGCTTGCAATAAAGAAACCTGGCCATGTTGTGGCTTAGGCCAGCCTCCTGGGAAAGAAATATCTCATTGTACAGAATGGAAAGTTGGGAGGGTTTCCTTTTTTCCATTTAGGCATAACAGTTGTTCTATTTGGGGTCTTAAGGGCTTTTCAGATACTAATTTGCTTTCATCAAAAAAGGCCTGTGGAAGGAATTTGGACCTGTTCCCTATTCTTCGGCCCCTGGCCCCGCTTCGCTTTCATGACCATTTCCCCTGCTGCCGCTGTGCTCCTCACAGGAGGGCAGGTCCGCTCACTGCAGACTCAAACCCTGCCTGCCTCCCCATACTGTCTCTATGCAGAGAAAGTGTGTCAGCCCCCAGGCGTTCGTGGGTGGGACACTGAAGGTCTGTCTCATAGTGCAGGTTCACAGATGTCTGTTTAGTTGACCTAACTTTGGTTTTCCCCTTTGCAGTCACTGGAATGAGCTACGACGCAGTGAGTGGCACACACCCTGAACACGGGACGTCCAGTGACTACACAGACCACACCTACGTTTCAGCTCCTTTCACCAAAGGGGAGCGGGCACTGCTGTCCATTGCAGACCACAGTTCATCCTTGGACGTAAGGGAGAGTTCCACCTCTTCTGTTAAGATCTCAAGCTCTTTGCAGTCAGACTCTTCTTCCTCTTCTCGGGCTCAGGCAGAGAGAAGCAACGTCTCCTCCCGCGATGGGGAATCCTCTCAGTCTTCCACTGACGCGCTCTTTCTGCGCACGGCCAGCCCTCCATCCCGCACACCCACCGTTAATATGCCGACCACTCTGGTTCTTCTGGACACCGATGCTGAATCCGCTGGCGATACACCATCGTCTTCTTCGTCAGGGCCCCCCTTGCCCCAGCCCTCAGTGTCACAGTCCTACCGGTTGTTCTCGTCAACCCTGCCGTCGACCAGGGCCTCCACTCACCTACTGCAGTCCGCCCCTGATGTGCCCACACCTTTGTCTTCCTCGCCACCACCCTCACTAGTATCCCTGACGGCATCTGCCCCTGTCTCGCCGTCTGTCTCACAGACAATCCTCCCACCTTCATCCTCTACCCTGGTCCTGCCCAAGGCAAGGGACACTCCTCTGACTTCAGCCTGGACGCCGATAATGGCATCATCCGTGGCAGTGCTCCCCAGCAGTCAAACGGCAGATCCTAAGAACCAGAGCAGCCCACACCTTGGGAAGCTCGTTACGGAATCAAAGCCACAGAGCCTGGAGACTCTGCCCGTGGAGGCCACGGAAACTGTAACAGTGAGGTCTCCTCTGGGGATCCCTTCGCCCCTGGCCTTAACAGAGTCCTCCACTGAGCAAACCCTTCCAGCCACGAGCACCAGCTTAGCCCAGACGTCTCCAGCTTTGGTAGCTACCACTCTCCAGACCTCTCATCCCCACGTGACCAGGCCCCAGCCCCCGTCAAGCACAGCATCTCTGACGGGTGGTCCTACAACAGTACAGACAGTGGCCGGAAAACAGCTCCCGCCAACCAGTCCTGAAATTCTAGTGGTACGCATCTCAACAGAAGGTGCCGTCACCACAGAAAGGAACCCAGTGAATAGAGATGCTGCCACCGGATCGATCCCCCTGACCAGTGCGCCCACATCAGCAAAAGAATGGACCACGGGGCTTGGCCCTACAGAAGAGCACAGCCTGGCTTCACATTTCCTCAGAACATCTCCTTCCCCCCAAAGCACACCTGTTTCTACAGCTAAGGTGTTGACATCTACATCGACCACCCTCACTGCTCAGAGCAGCACCCAGTCGTCCACGGCACTGTCATCTCCAGCCTCAGGTAGGACACAATCGCACGAGCACACTGAGGCTGCACGGGGCTCGGGGTGGCTGGTATCCGCCATAGGACAGTGTCTGCTTTGTGATCTCAAATGCTTTCTGTTGGAGCACTTAAATCAGAAAAGAATGTCACGGTGGCAGTCTTCTCACCCCTGAGTTTCAGAATTCTTCCCGGAGAAAGAGGAGAGGATGCCGTTGGCCATGTGTGGCATCAGTAGTAGTGCCACTGTAACTTGTAATGCCCCGTAATTGCAAGAGCTTTTCAAGCATGCCTTTAACTCTAGCAAAGCCAGAGTGGGGTAGTGAAGCAGGATTGAAGGGTGGAAAAATGGAGTCGAGAAGCTTTAGCTGGCCTGTCCGAGACACAGAGTGAGCAGGTGCCTTCTCCCAGATCAGAGCCACGAGCTTCTGAGTTAGTCAGCCAGCCCCCCAGTCACCGGGGAAACTTCTCTTGATCCAGGGGAGCCCAGGCTCCTTTGTCTCCCTAAGATTATGATGTCAGCGGATAAGTGCGGGTGGAGAGATGTGTTCAGTGAGAGGATGATGAACTAACCTTTCCCATAGTGACCGTGTGACATTGCCCTTGAGGTTATATATCTTTATATCCATATATATAATCCATATATATCCATATATATATAGAGATGTTGCTGGGACAAGGGAAATAAAGCCATCCACATGATTCTTTATCACTTAAGGAAAGGTAGAAGGAAGTAGGATGATACCTCCTTTGATGTCAGGGTCAGAATTTGCTGGATATTTAGCTTGTCCAGACTCAGGAAAGGAAAACTGCTGTTGGTGAAGGGGTGAAATGGGGACTGAAGGGAGGAGGGAAGAAGGGAAGGGAGTTAGAAGCAGAGTTCCAACCAGGCAGCCATCATCCAGCTCGTGGCTGGAGGGCCATGGACCCCACGCAGCCCCGCAGAGCCCTGATGCATCAGTGCTCCCTTCGTGCCAGTGGTCCGAGCCTTGCTGGGAAATGGAAGCTGGCTCCTTCTTCTGGCGAGTTTGGGATCCCTGCTTCAGGACTCACAGGCTTCATTTCCAGATGCCAAACATATTCCAATACCAGGTAGAACATAATTCACAAGTGTCCCTTAAAGCCAATTATAGCCATCGCAGTGATAACTATAGGTGAGTGTTAGGAACATTGGTACTGGCTGTTGCTATGTCTTTTGTGACAGAGTCCACGGCTGCAGTGTTTGTACGTATGGGTGCTCTGCTCATGCAGATATGAGCACAGGTAGATATTAAGTAGCAATGAGGAGCCGGGACACCATATTCAGGTTTAGCCCGTTTGTCTTCAGGGTTATTCTGGAGTAAGAACTCTTGACTTCTGCCTTCTCCTTCTCATTCTACCACTGACTTTTCTCCTTGGAGATGAGTTTTCTCCCTCTGTTATGAGCTTCTCTAAATGTGTGTCAGAAACCTTTATTAGGCAGTTATTGTATAACTGTAGCATGACAAGGCCAGTTATACAGACCCAAACAGAGAGTGTGGTCACTGCACCTGGGAGCTGGGAGTCCAAGAGTTCAGTGGAGCTTGTGCATTGCCAGGGCCTGGATGAATTAGACAGGCTCACGGTCACACCGCGTAAAGAGAGGGTGTCGTAGTGTTCACCTGCAGGCATCATTCTGAAGGATGGCACATTATGTGGAGGCCCAGTTACAGTGCGAGACCTTTAGAAAAGAGAAAACTTGGAGCAGGGAGGATGGTTGATCAGGCAGTCCCAATACATCTCCTCTGCACCTCTGGGAACCCATTCTATTGCATAGTGTGGCCTTTCAGGGCAAGTACACAGAAATAAGCAAGAATCAAATATTAGCTGGGAGAATTAAATATTTACCTAACCCTGCCCTTACCTTTCCTGTGTGATTAACTGCATTATATCTGAAATGTGTTTGCAGTTAACAGCTGTGCCGCTAACCCTTGTCTTCATGATGGGAAATGCGTTGTGGACCCCACCAGCCGTGGGTACCAGTGTGTGTGCTCACCTTCCTGGCAAGGAGATGACTGCAACGTGGGTAAGAGGAAAAGTCATCTGCAGTGGTCTACAATACAGTATCACATTGAGATAGGCAGTAAACTCCCTTTTCCTCCAAAACATAGGGGAGTGAGATTTTAAAATTCATACCCTGCTTACTTGAGAATTAGCATGCTTATGTGTTGTCTGCAGAGCAACGTTGGACAATGACATTGATGATCTGGCTCCCTTATGCGGGCTCCCTACATCCCTGCCACGCTGGACCACCCACCACTCCCTGAAAACCCCTACACTTTCCTGCTCCTGACCTTCACTGTGCTGGTGCCCCAGCCTAGAATCCCCCTACCCACATCTGCTGATTAAAATTCTTCCAGTCTTAGGCCAGATGTTATTTGAAATAGTCCTTAATTCTCCCTTCCATCAAAATCATTACTTTCTCTTTACTTTCAAATCCTGCCTTATATTTAGTTAGTTGTACTCATGGCTGCCCCCACCCTCAGTAGACTGGTAGCTCCTTGAGAACAAGGGTAATGCCTACTCGTTTCCAGGCCCCATCACACCCAGTGCCATTTGGCCCTTAGAAGTGCCCCTTGTACTGGATTATGATTGTGCTGCCTGCTGCAGGTTCACTGTGACCTTGTGTTCCCTTCTCTGCAGATGTGAATGAGTGCCTCTCAAACCCCTGCCCACCCCTGGCCGTGTGCAACAATACTCAGGGATCCTTCACCTGCAGATGCCCAGTGGGGTACCAGCTGGAAAAAGGGATATGCAATTTGGGTAAGAGAGTTTGTCTGTCTTGGAATTTTCTCTGCACCACAATGTATTTTGCAAAATAACATTTATTGTTTTTCTCCCTAATCAAAATCAATATTTGCCCAAGGAATAAATTTAAGGAATATAGAAGGGAGTGGAAGACACTGCCTGTTATTCCACCACTCAGAGATGTAGCACCTTATTTGCAGTCTTTTTTAGTGTGTATTATATTTTGATATAGTTGAAGTCATATGGTATTTGTACAAACTTTATACCTTAAACATTTTTCCATGTTATTAAAACTATTATACAAACTTTGTAATGACTGCATAAATATGCCATCATTTGTGCATAACACTATTTGCTTAACCATTCCACCCTATGGTTAGGGGGAAAAAAAATTAAAAGAATATTCTAACCAAAGAGTTAAAAAAAGAATTTAGGGAGAGAAAAAAGAGAATAAAACCCTGATTATCCTACCACATTCACACATTCTTTTCATTTTTAAAATTGATCTTCGTGGGCTTCGCTGGTGGCGCAGTCGTTAAGAATCCACCTGCCAGTGCAGGGGACGGGGGTTCGAGCCCTGGGCCAGGAAGATCCCACAGGCCACGGAGCAACTAAGCCCGTGCGCTACAACTACTTAGCCTGCCCTCTAGAGCCCACGAGCCACAACTACTGAAGCCCGCGTGCCTAGAGCCCGTGCTCTGCAATAAGAGAAGCCACCGCAATGAGAAGCCTGTGCACAGCAATGAAGACCCAACTCAGCCAAAAATAAATAAATATTAAAAAAAAGATCTTCATGTTCTTGTCCACAGACAAGATACAGTTTTTACAAAGCTACTGCCATAATTGTATCATACAATTTGTCACATTTTGATCCCGAATTTAATATTTTATGAAGCTGGTTGGGTTTAGATATAATCTCCATTTTACAGGTTAAAAAGCAAACAACCCAAATGAAAACTAAGGCCTTGACAAAGTACTAAATGGCCCAGCTTGTACAACCGCTTGATGAGACGCCAGGTTTGCAGCCCACAGTCCTTCCATCACACAGTGCTGTGTTCGTTCTGGGAGCTTTCTTGCACACAGGCTGTGTAATCTGTGTTAGAGCGCCGAGATCAATGAAGAACTTTGAAGAAATTACAAGTGAGGAATATAGAGTTATCTAAGCTGGATAGGGAGCTGGTGGATACAGTGACTCAACTTGGAATCACCTTATATTGCCCAGTGTCATAACACAGAGAAAGTGCTCAGTAAATGTGTTTTTGAGAGAGCAAATGTCTGTGTCCTTTGAAAGTGTTCTTTGCATGACTTGCATTGCCCATAGGCTGAGGGGAATAATCAGAGTTTTTAAGAAGGTCGTGTCAAATGACAAAACTAAAACAATTTGGTAATGAGTTTGATGTCCTTTACTCAAGGGAAAGCAGTCCATGGACTGGGGAAGTGCAGGGTCTCTCTCACAAGCAGTGGAAGGAACATTCTTTCTGAGCCACTTTGGGCAAGAGTGAGTTTTACAGCACGTAGGAGCAGCAACGCGGACACAGGGCATGATTGGCTGGGGTTGCATATCTGACCTTATTTAGAAAGATCAAGGAACGAGGAAATAAGTTTAGAGCCCAGAGTTGGCTTCGCTGTTGGGGATTGGCTGACTGATATGCTGCATTACTGGTCAAGGGGAGCGTTTACAGGAACTCTAAAGTGTGACTTGCTGACGTGGCACCCCAGGCAGGTGCAGCTCCATCTTGGGGCTAGAAATGTATTTCAATAGTTGGTACCCTACTAAAATAATGGTAGAATTTAGAAAATTGTTTAAAATACAAGGATCAAGTCAAAGCGTTATTATTATTATTATTATTATTTTTTTTTTTTTTGCGGTACGTGGGCCTCTCACTGCTGTGGCCTCTCCCGCCGCGGAGCACAGGCTCCGGACGCGCAGGCCCAGCAGCCACGGCTCACAGGCCCAGCCGCTCCGCGGCACGTGGGATCCTCCCGGACCGGGGCGCGAACCCGTGTCCCCCCAATCAGCAGACGGACTCCCAACCACTGCGCCACCAGGGAAGCCCCAAAGCGTTATTTTTAAGGAAGAAACATCTGGGAATATAGACATCACTCAAAGTCGAGAAGTCCTCGTATTCTAATAGATTATTTGCAGTTGGGGCGCCTATTCCATTTAGCTACACCCTGTAAGAAATCAGCAAGGAGTTTTCAGCTTAAGAATGGAGATGATGGAAATGACTTTATCTTGAAACAGTATGGAAAGTACACTTGCCAGGGACTCAAATGCCAGGCTTCCAGCTCCAGGTCCAGCACCTACAGCACGCTGACCCCTGCACCTCAATTTCCTCATCTGTAAAATCAGATTACCACCTGCTCTGCTTCCCACTCAGGGTTATTATGAAGATCAAATAAATAATATATTTGAGCAAGCTTGGAAAATGGCAGGGGTCTCCAGATGGGAGGTATCCTTTGACATTAGTCTTCTAATCTCTTGGACCAGAGCTGAAAGCAATGAAAATGATAAACTACTTTGAATATAAAGCAATAATTTTGGATCTGTAAAAAATCATTTAGATAACCTGTGTAAATCAACAGTTAAAAATCGCCCTAAAGCCAGATTATTTAACTGCAGCGTGAAGATGGGAATGCATCTGGGAGAGGGCAGGGCTGGGGGGGACACTGCGGTGCCTAATTCGTATTCACACAGATGCAGAGGCCACATTTACTGTCCTGGCTCAGAAGAGATCTGTGTACCTGATGGTTATGTATGTTTCTGCACAGAGTCTGGGCACAGACCTAGACCTGTGAGATGGGAGGGTGAAGGGGTGGGGTGACTGTTCTGCAAGCCTGTGTGTGGAGGGTCCCACAGGCACCATGCATCAGGAGGAGAGCCACTTATTGTGTTAACAATCATCTTTCCTTTTCAAGTCATTTAGCTTCATTGTTCATAAACATCAGAGGAATATGCAAATTAGAGCATGCTGAAGCTCTTTCATTTGGCCAGGAATGTTTTCAAAGAGCTCCCTGCTTCTCAGAAAGAGTCCTAAGCAGCTGGCTTCACTGAACTCTAGAACAAGCAAAAAGATGTTAAATAAGGATTAAGGGCTTTAGACAGTAAGTATAAGATGTTAAATGTTTTCCCTGGCTCATTTGTGGGCCTTTTTCTTAATTCAGCAGGCAAGCTTTCTATGAAAGAGCAGCTTCATGTGTTTCTGTGTTTGGGTTTATTTATATTTTTTTCTTGTCCAGAGGGAAAGATAAGAATGTAATCTAAAGGAAGATAAGAGCCAGATAGAAAGCAGGCTGTCCTAATTTTTTTTCTTTTTTTTTTTTTTTTTTGGTACGCGGGCCTCTCACTGTTGTGGCCTCTCCCGTTGCGGAGCGCAGGCTCCGGACGCACAGGCTTAGCGGCCATGGCTCACGGGCCCAGCCGCTCCGCGGTATGTGGGATCTGTCCGGACCGGGACACGAACCCGTGTCCCCTGCATCAGCAGTCGGACTCTCAACCACTGTGCCACCAGGGAAGCCCTGTCCTAATTTTTGATTGCCTGCCCATTTGTAAGTTCTATCACCCTCAGGCCCAATCAGCACAAATTGATGTTAACTAGAATTTTATTTTATGAGTGAAATGGGCCTTGAAAATGGGGCTATTTTCTTTCATGTCTGAACCCAACAGTATCTTGAATATGGGTTGTTTTCATTATATGGCTTGTAGTCATGGAGTCTGGCAGCCCCCTGAGTGGAGTCCTGCTACAGATGTTTGACACCTTTCTCTGTAGCCACTTGGTTGTCCTTAGACTATGAGATTCCTCAGGGGGCTAGGGGTTTAGGGGGAAAGAAGAATTTGGAAGATGGACACACGTGACGTTAAATGTTAATTTTGGCCCTTGGGAGCTGGGTGATCTTGGGAAGTAACCTGGCTTCTGGAAGCCTCTTTTATCAATGATAGAACAGGCAGTTCCTCTGAGCAAGAGGAATGGGGAATGGATGGAGGTGACTCTCATGAGAAGAGGAAACCAGAGCACGCCCTTGAAGTGGAGGGCTGACTAACTTGGTAAAACACCTAGAGAGAAAGAGCTTTCCTCCATCCGAAGCTTTATAGGGGCCCACAAGCGTTTGTCTTTCCAGCCCCACGTCTCCCTCCCCTCTTCCTGGAAGTGTGTTCTTTAGACCAGCTCATCTCCCTTCTCTGTTACAGCTTCATTGAGCATCTAAGATGTGGGAGGCCACTGGAGAGACGAGGAAAGCTCACTCTCTCAGAGCCTTCACACATATGCAAAAGGCTCTTTGGAGCCTCTCACCCAAAGGTCTGCTCAGACTGAGTCTTCAGCTCAGCTCAGTAGGGGCTCAGTAGGGGCTGAGTAGGGGCTGAGTAGGGGCTCAGTAGGGGCTCAGTAGGGGCTAGAGGAGCCCCGAAGAGGGAGGAGTGGTCTCCACCCTCCAGGGGAAAGAAATGCACAGAGAGCATCCTGGGAGGTGGAGGAAAGTTGAGTGCCTTGAGATTTACAGACACTCAGCCATGTGTAGGTGGACCTTGTGAGGTCTAACAGGTTATGTTTTCATTTTCAGTTAGAACCTTCGTGACAGAGTTTAAATTGAAGAAAATATTTCTTAATACCACCGTGGAAAAACATTCAGACCTCCGTGAAGTTGAAAATGAGATCACCAAAACGGTAGGTTTCCCAAAAGGCATCTTCCTGCTAGCCCTTTGTTTTCTAGAACAGATTTTATTCAGAATCGGGAACATCCTGGGGATCAGCTGTATCTCCTGGGCTGTTCATTTCTATTATATTTGGAAGGTGAACTTTAGGGTAAAATTAAAGGCCTCTCGGAAGTAGAAGGGAGGTGTTGAGAACCAGTGATGCCTGTGGAAGCATTTCTGCTAATGTGTCTTCCCATATGCAGCCTTTACCGGTGCCTTGGCATTTCTTTTCCATGTTCAGACTCATAGTTACAGACATTTAGGTGACATGCACCAATAAGAACTGTTGGTGAAGCGGAAAGACCCAGAAAATCCTACTGTCCCATCTGCTGTTGACATGCTGTGTGATTTTTCTGTCTGTGTTTTGGAACCTGGAGAGAATGATGCTTTTTTCTCAAGGGAATGCCAAAGGTGGAGCAGTTTATCCTATTATCCAGGGTTGAGAATTCACTGAGTAGATTATCTAGGGGCCTTTGATTCTTCTTCTTTCCCTCCTTGCCTGCTTTTTGTCAGGAAAAAGACAAGAAAGAAAAAAAGAAAAATGGAGAGGAGAGAAGAAGAGATGGAAGTGAAGCTCAGATAGTAAATTTTGCCTCTCAGCTGCTACCGTAGTCTAAGATTTGGTGTTCAGAAAATTGAAATTTGCCATTGAAATAAGTTTTAGAGATTGATTTCTGATTTTAATTTTACTCGTTCTTTATGGGTAAGAGTATATTAGCCAAAACCTATAGGATTTTATGGGACCATGGGTTTTATTTGTGTAAAATGTAGATTCCAATTCCATTTCTGTATCTACTGAGCATCTACTCGGTGACAGGCACTTTACCAGATGCGTCACTCCTATAAGAGGTATTGCCAACACTTTTACAGAGGGAAAACTGGCAGGCTCTGGAAGTTAGTGACGTTGCCTGAGTTTACACAGAGCAGGTGCAAAGTTAGAGACCACTCTCACTTCTGACACCAGTTGCGAGTTTGGGGGTCCCCAAGAAACACTCAGTTTTGATAATGCACTAGAAGGACTCACAGATCTCACTGAAAGCTGTTATACTTGTGGTTACGGTTTATTACAGTGAAAAGATCCAGGTTACAGTCAGCTAAGGGAAGAGATGCATGGGGCAGAGTCCAGGAGGCATTCAAATTCAGTGCTTCCAGTCGTCGTCTCCCCATGGGGTCATGGACAGGGTTAACTCCTCTCAACAATGATGTGTACAATATTCATAGAGTATCACCAACCAGGGAGACTCACCTGAGCCACTGTGTCTAGAGCCAAAACACAGATAGTCAACTGCCCATATGGCTGACCTCAGTCTGCAGCCCCTCTGGAGAGGTAACCCTTTGGGTTACCCTTTGTAACCCCAAACCCCACCATAAATCACGCTGTTAGATTATCTGGAGCAGCCCAGGGTCTCCAGGTAAACAAAGGCAGGACATTCCAAAGGCTTAGAAATTACCTCCCAGGAGCCAAGGGCCAGACCTCTCTTTGCGTAAGGTCAAATTCTTTACTATATGACGGGGTTTTACGTCTACTCACCCTATACCTGGTGTTATTGGCACTGCACCACAGCTGCCTCTTAGTTCCGTTGTAGGTCAATATTTCCTTCTAAGATAGTACAGGGGCTGAGAAACTCGTGCAGAGGTACAGTCCTTCCCATTACACGGTGCTCAGTGACTTATCCGATTTGCTCATTTTTACCCAGTATCAACATATAATTTATTAGTGATGTGACATCCCCACCCCCAAGAAACAGTGAAGATTTGGCTATGACTCAAGTAGTCTTTCCCAAGGTGCCGTTCTGTTCTGAAATGTGCTATTTCTGTGTTTTCCTGGGGAAAAAAGTTTAAGTAATAATATTAATAAATCATTACCTTGTGAATATAAAGCAATGTCATACAAAGCCAAAACAGGGTTTGATAGCATCCCGTGTTTGAATCCATCTTGTGAAGGGTGAGATGTGTCTGACCCACAGGCTTTGAAGACAGGTGGGTTGCATTGGTCAAGGTATTGAGACCCTCTGCTGCATAAAAGGAATCCCCAGCCCCTACTGTGGGGGTGGGGGAGTGGAGAAGCAGGCATGGTCCTTCATGCCCCACAGGGATTTTCTGCTCTTTCCGAGAGCACAAGGCAAACACAGGGAGAGTCGCTCTTAATTTGCTCTCAACAAAAGGGCTCTTGACCCATGTAATGTAATTTCCTATGGAGAGCCTTATTGAAGAGGACCTATCTGTGAGTTCGGTCAACTCATTGTAGATTATGAGGGGTCTGTGTCAGGCCTGCCAGACCTGGGGTAGCTGAAAGGAACCCAGCCTTTTCAGTGAGGCTTGTTCACTATGCAAAGTCCAAATAAACAGTTGCCTCTGAGGTTTTTGAAACCCTGGGTCTTAGAAGAGATCTGCTCCTTTGAAGATGTTTTGCATCCAAGGGTGCTGTTCTGAACATCATTTCCTGCCAAGATTTTCCCCACTGATTTACTATCTGCCTCTCTCCCTTTGTACTCATGGAACAACAGAATAAGAGCAGAAAGGCATTTAAGAAAGGGACAAAAAAGACACCACTCCTGCGTAAGGCTGCCTACTGACAACTTGATGGCTGGAAAACGCCTATTTGATCCTGAAAATAGGAAATTCGTTCCAGGTTTAAGGCTTTTGTCTGACTCACAGTTAACGATAAACCTGTTCTTCCTTTCAGTTAAATGTGTGTTTTTCAACATTACCTGGTTATACCCGATCCACAGTTCATGCTTCTAGGTAAGTAACAGGATTATATTAGTTTGTGAGCCAGTCTACAGAAAGGGGAGGATGTTCTAACATGGGTTATGGCAACAAAACTGGGCCTTGTTTTGATTGGGCCATAGGGTGATCCAGGGCCAAGGTCACTGGAACTTCATGCTCTCCCAGGCCATCACTGGAGAATGGGGAGGACACTCATTTTCCAAAAGCCCTGGGGCCCACATGTCATTTTAGGACAATTAAAACCTACATATTTTGCCTGTAGGGAGCCCAGTGCGGTGGTGATGTCACTGCAAACCACCTTTTCCCTCGCCTCCAACGTGACGCTGTTCGACCTGGCCGATGGGATGCAGAAATGTGTCAACTCCTGCAGGGCCTCTGCTGAGGTCTGCCAGCTCTTGGGTTCTCAGAGGCGGATCTTTAGAGGTAAGAGGCCCTCTGGGAGGACCCCACCCATTCAGTTAGGCACAGACTGAGGGTAGACGTGTAAGGCATTCAGGGCTCAGGTCCAAGAAACTTGTCACAGAGCAAGCCTGTCTTTGAAATGGGCGTTAAGCACAAGGCCTTTGTGTGTGTGCATCTTTGTGTACACATGCACAGACACACACACACACACACACACACACACACTTGTGTACACATGCACAGACACACACACACACACACACACACACACACACACACACACACACACTCTCCTGTACACCCAGCCTTGAAGGCCCCCAGTCCTTGGCATACTGTTTCTATTTTTTCTATCCAGCATTAGTATTGGAAGGGATGTAGGAGCTGATGTAATGGAGCAAAAACCACTCTTCTTTCCCTTGAAAGGTTCCTCCTCTCTCTGGGGAGATAGAAATGCTTGTCAATGACTCCAGACCTTCATCTTGACACACCATTAGGTTAAAAAAAAAAGCATGTACAGAATCACCCGTCTTTCTGTGTATTTGTTTGCAAATTCTACTCGCACAGAAATAAGACTAGAAGATTAGAGGCCAAACTGCTCACCGTCCATGATTTCCCTTTTCTTGTGCTTTATCTGTTGGTGTTGAAAGCTTCCACAGTGCATCTGATGTGAAGCAGCTGAAGAAAGGGATTAGAAACAAGTTTGGAAGGCAAATTCGGGTCTTGGAGGGGAGGTTTTGCCTCTGGGATGGGAAAACTCTGCTGGAATCAAAAGTGCTTCCTCATGCAGGGGGCCCTGCCCCTGCTGTGTCTCATAAGTGGTCAGAGCTGGCTCTGGTTCGCTCATTTTACTACACATAGGACTGGTGAGGGATGCAGAGTCGGAGGGAAGCTCCCCATCTGGTGCCCAGATGCCAGACTAAGTTGTAGGTAGCAGGTTTGGTGCTCTGCCTGCTGGAGATCCAGGACGTTCCCGATGAGCCAGAGCTTTGTAAGAGCAGGTCTGGAGAGCCCTCCTTATGGACTGTGCATTACAGAGCTGGCAGTTAACCTTTTGCTCAGGGATAAATGCTAGAGCTTTGCCCATTTAAGGGCTATTCACTTGAAAAAAAAAAAAAGAGAGAGAGAGAGAGCTAAGCATTCTGGAGTTGAAGTTGCCATCATTTAGCTTCATTGGGGAATTGGTTAAAAAGTTCCTGCCCCATCACACTGTACTCTGCTTTGATTTTAGTTTCTTTCTCTTGCCAGTGATTTAAAGGTTCCAATTTTTCCTCCCCAGAAAGTAGGAAGGGGACCTTGCAGTTCACTAAACACGTGTGGAATACATGCTACGTGGTCAGCATTATAGTAGGTTACTTTTTTGTCCTTGGTAAACGTATTTCATGTTTTGCAAATCAAGTGGCAAGATATTTGGATTTGTAAGGGCCATGCCCGTGGCAGCCCTGCCCACTCTCTGACCCCCATTCTTCTAACTGCTCAGATGTAGCTTACGGGAAAGCTCCTGGCTTCCTTGCCAAGGTCCCTTTTTTTTTTTGAAGACTTTTTTCTAGAGCAGAGTTAGGTTCACAGCAAAATTAAGAGGCAGGTACAGAGATTTCCTACAGACCTCCTGCCTCCACGTGTACTGGTGCCCATTCTTTGCCTCTGCTTTCCAAGCCCCTGAGAACAAATACGGCCATGCATCTTGGCTGAAAACAGCCTCACCTCTCTGTTTTCCCTCCCAGGGCTTCTCCAGGTTTTGCCAGCACACTGCTTGGTCTCTCACTCACCTCTCTTGAGTGCTAGAGAGGTGGGCTGGACAAGGGGGAGCTGTTAGCTTCTGACATCTGGGTGTTCCCAACACGTGGGAGGCACCGGGCCACTCCAGCTGCTGCCCTTGCAAGGGCAGTTTCTTCCCCTTCAATTCACAAAACATCTACTTCCTCGCCTTTCAAAGAGCTGTAGCTCTCATCTCTCCAGAGGTTTAGAGTCCTTGGAAATCCCCCAGGGAGCGTCCCAGCCTTAGATTCACATAAATTCTCATTGTCTGTTTGGCGGATGTTATGCCCAGGAAGGAGCATGGGAATTGTAGATGCAGAAAAATCACATGACCAGGCTTAAAACGAAAACGGCATTATACGTGCTTCCATTGGATGGACTGATGACAATGTTCTTTAAGAATTTTTGAGGATAGCAACCCCTCCATTGCAAAGGCGGGGCCAGCTTTCCCTGCCTTCAAGTGAATCTGCTTCTGTGCGGGGAAGAGTTGCTTCAGCAGGGCGAGCAGTATTTGCCAGCAGGTGGGATTCGTGGGCAGGGTGGAGGGAAAACGTGACACTGGCTTCCAGAAAATATCTAATCAGGCCAGGCAACTCAGGCTGGCTGCTGCACCGACTAGTACCAGCCTGGACGGCCTTCTGTGCTGGAGATATTTCTTTATATTAAGGCTTTAGATGAGAGATTGTGGCCGTTTAGTGCCCCTCTGTGCCAACTTCACCGTGTTTGCCTGGTGAGATTTTCCATTTTTCATTTTTCTCCCTTAAATACAGACCTTTCACAATAAACAAAGGAAATTGTATCACACACACCAATAGGTTCTGATTTAGCATGCCAGCTTCCACTGATAAAGGCAGGAAATTCAGCTGTGAGAGCTGAAGTTGTGTCCTAAACTAACCTCCTGTGACCAAGCCACCCCCTGGCCCCGAGCTCTCGAGACTCAGACAAGGAGGCAGATGCCGGGGTCCCTGTCACCAGGACCTGCCTGGGGTGGGGTGGGGGTATAGCTGTGCTGTGTTAAGAGCTGGCACCTGGTTTCTGAATCGGTTGGTGTTTTCCTTAAGGTGGGAGAAGGGAACCCACACCTCACTTCCCAGGGTACACGTGGCCCTTCCTCGGCTGTCTCCTCACGCAGACCTTTTGCTCACGCCCGCCAAAAACAGCGGCGTAGGTCAGTCTCACCCTGTACATAGTGTAAATAAGTTACTGTCCACTATCCAAGTGATTTCATATTTTTGTTCTATTGTCCGTATACCCCAGTTACTTATGTTTTTTTTGTTAGACCTACCTTAGATGGTAAAAAGCACCCTCGTTGTGTCCACTGTATACAGCCTCAGAGAGGGCCTGCTGTGTACAAACTCAGAGAGGGCGTGCTGTATACAACCCGAGAGAGGGTTCACTGTTCACAACTTCAGAGAGGGTCTGCTGTACATAACCTCAAAGAGAGCCCACTGTATACAAACTCGGAGAGGGCCTGCTGTATGCAACCCGAGAGAGGGCTCACTGTGTACAACCTCAGGGCCACATGCCCAACAGTGAATGCTTTCGGATAATAATGAAAGAGTTCTTTGTCATCCATGAAATGAGCATGGCCCACATGGCCAGGTGCTGACGACCCAGAGCCAAGCGAGCCCCAGGTGGGCGTCAGTATAGTGGGCAGGCGGACAGTGACAGAACGCATACAGCCCGGCTTACCTTCCACACGTCTCCTCGGAATCAGTCTGCAAGGCAGCAGGCTACCCGCCACAGCAGGCGCTGCGTCCCTTTAGGCCAGACAGACACAGAGCCGGGACGCACCTCAGCCAAGGCAGGCCTTCTTCCTAAGAGAGCGGGTCACGCTTTCCGGGTTTGTGCCGATCCTCCCCTGCAGCCCTAGAGCGTGAAGGTGCAGAGGATCCCACCCGTCGAGGGTTGTGTTCGCAGGGGACGCTGGAGTTGGCGACGGCACCCCGTTTCTTCTGGGTTTGTTTTCTGCCCCGTGAACTTTTACTAACAGACCCGGGGGCCGACTCGGGGGAGGAGCGGCAGAAGGCAGTGCAGAAGTGCCCACTGAGAGGAGCGGCGCACCACGCAGGCTCTTTTGGAAACTGTTCTCCGAGCCTCTTGAAAGAGGAAGTTCACGCATCTTTATGTTCGACGTGGAGGAGGTTTTGTTCTGTTTCACTGTCTTGTTTTTCCATTCTAGCGGGCAGCTTGTGCAAGCGGAAGACTCCAGAATGTGACAAGGAGACCTCCATCTGCACCGATCTGGACGGGGTCGCGCTGTGCCAGTGCAAGTCTGGCTACTTCCAGTTCAACAAGATGGACCACTCCTGCCGAGGTACCGGCCGCTCTGGGGTTCTATGGCCCAGGGGGTGGGGAAGGTGCTTTTCTCTGCCTGGGGCAGTCTCTCTGCTCTAGGGGTGACTGTTCTAATCTGGGGGTAACCGGTTCTAGTTATTTGGCTTCCAGCAGAGTTGAATACGTTATCTCCCTGGAATAATAGCATTATCTCTGGCTGGTGCACACTGGTCTGGCTAACCAGATTCAAAGGAAAAGAAAAGAGAATGGAATGCCTGGGGTGGCCAGGCCTTTTTTTTTTTTTTTTTTTTTCCTAATTAGAGGAAATTAGAAAAATTACTGTTTTAATTCCCAAAGCTTTATTCTATTGTCTGCTAATCTTTTAAAATGAAAATACCAGCACGGAAGCAGGGCTGTACCTTTTAGTGGTAGCTGGCAGCCCGGGAGACCTGAGTCAGAGCCCCACTCTGCCTGCCCGTCCTGTATCATCTCGGGCAAGTCACTTTGCTTCGCTGGGCTTGAGTTTCCTCTTCTGTGAAATGGGTGCAGTGATACTGCATTGGATATTCTAAGAATTAAAGAGGGCAGTGGTTATAGAGGTACTTGGTAAGCCATCAGCCTTTGCCCTTGTATTTTACCCAGGTTGTTGTTGGACCAATGAGTTCTGGTTTTAAGGGTTTCAAGGCAGAAACCTAATTCTGCTAATCTCTTAGGTGAGGATTAACTTCATCCAGTGTGAGACGAAGGCTGGTCGGTGAGTGCAGTGCAAGAATACTGCTTTAAAATAAAATGAATTCAAGTCCAGAGCGCTGGGTACCCTGACTTACGAAACCCTGCTGCAATTCGTGATCACAGGAAAACTAGCAACATAAAGGCATCATGTAGCCTTAGGCCTCGCATCACATGAGAACGTGTATGGCCCAGTTTTCCTGCTCAGTCAATGCCTGCTGGTGACAGATGTACTGGAATCTGAGTAAAAATGGCATCCTGGGGAAAGGTGACGTGCCACTTATTTCTGTCAGGACTTCCCATTAGAGGAGAGGATAAAAATACATTTCAGGGCAGTGCTCTCATCCTGCGCTTCAGACCCTCTGACTTAGGTGCTTTGAAAGTACACCTCCTCAGCTCTGCACACAGGCCCTGGGTGGGGTTTGAAGAGGGGGCCCAACTCTGTGGGGCAACAGGCCTGATTCTGAAGCTCACAGCGCTTCTCAGTGCCCTGTCAGTCTGCCGCTTTGATACAGAGGTGACGCTTCTTAGTTCCATCTTATCTGGTTTCATGCAAAGTGCTCCTGGCCCGTCTTAGAAACTGGGGCACTGAGCCCACTTCATGTGTGAAGGTAACGTCCTTCACACATGAAGTGCGCTCACGTCCCTGTGTGCTGGAGGCCCTGTGGCTACGTGGGGCAGTCGTTTCTGTACGCAGTGCCTCTGCAATTTCAGGTGGCCTCAAGAGCAGCCCTGCCACCTTTGCTTCTGGCTGGCATGAGTCATTTCCCTCTCTTTCCAAGTCAGTAGTTCTATAATTGTGTCGCTTACAGACTAGCATTAGCAATAGCAGAGCTGTCAAAGATTTACCAGCTGCAGTGACACAGGCACCGGAAACCTTATGTCTATCAAGTAACGACCGGAGAATCGGCATAAGAAAACCGTGGTTAGCTTTTGGGCTTGTGGCCGAGGCCCTATGCAGCCCGGTTTCTGCAGTATCCTGTTGGTTAGATTTTCACCCATGGCCATCGGAGCTCCATGAATGGATCCCGGAGCTCCTTGGGCCACAGCCCGGTCAGCTGGGTTCTGAGGGGTTACAGTGACATCTTCTGGCCATTGGTGCTGGAGCACGGGGGTAGTTAAAAGAAGTACCCTCTCGGACACCTCAAATCCGGGGTCAGTCCCTGGTGTAAACCGAGGATAAAGGCATGTGGGTGTGTGTTTTCTAAATCTCTGCAATTAACAGTTGTACATTAGCAACTGCATATTGTTCTTCATCGTATGCACACACACAACTTCTCAGTGTCTCACATAAAATGTCTTTACCAGACTTTCAAAGCATCATGTAAAATTAAAGTAGGTGTCCTTCCTGTAGATGTCTTAGCTTCCTTCCATCATGCAGATATCCTGATGAATTCCAGCCACCTGTTTGCAGGTCTCTTTCTCTGACTAGACTGCAGATACCTTGGGTGCCTGTCTCTAGAATATGCTTGCACATTATGGGGTTCCATCAATGTCTGTTGAATGAACAGTTGAATGATAGGGCAGCATATATGATAGGACAAGACTGGCAGGTCTTGATTTGGTTTCCTGCAAGGGAACAAAAGAGCCCTGAAGGCTCCACCATGTACTTCTGGCCTTTTATTTAAAAGTCCAGAAGGGTCAAATTTGCTTGTGTTCCATATCAATAGGGGAAGCCCACTTTGGGTGTATATGCTGGCTGTTGCCACATTCATTTCATCTTCAGCGTTCTGTGGGTCAGGGTCCCTCTAGGGCATGGAGATGCGGAGCTGGATCCTAAGGCGCACTGGAGTGCCTTATGACAAGGTTTCCCTCCAAGAGCCCCTAGAGCAGCACCAGGCCCACAGTAGCACTCAGTCTTTGATGAATGACTGAATGAGCCCATCTGAAATAAGGAAATATCATTACACCAGGGAGCCAGGCCACTTCTGAAGCTAAGTGAAAACAGCCCAGCCCATCAGCTCATAGGCAGGACAACAGATGGACCTTACATCTGGCTGGATGACAGCCACAGGGTGGAAAGCTCCCACCCAGCAGATGAGGGTTGGGTGGGTAGATTTGCTGTAAAAATATTTCCAGGAAGAAGTGTTCAGAATAGAACAGACTAGTGTGACATCAGCCTGCCTCAGTGCTGAGACGGGCGGGGAAGAGTCACTGGGATGCCAGCAGTCCCTGTGTAGCTGCCCTGCAGACAGAGCCATGGGTCATCCAGGGGCAGCTTCCCCTGCTCCCACGACCCGGCCATAGCACAAGGACTGCCAGGGCATGGTGCTTTCCACGCCGGGGAGACAGGAGGTCTCAGCTTGTTCCTTAGAGAAGGCCCCAGCTGAGTAAGGCCAGCTCAGAGAACTCAAAGGTATCAAAGATTTGGGAGAGGGGCCTCATTTCTCTTCCCTGAAGTGGGATATGATTATGCTCTACCTTGTTGCAAAAAAGACTTGAAGTACCTAATGAAAATTCATTGTAACAAGATGAGATTTAATTTAAAAGGTAAATCAGGTTGAAGGAGAAATAAAATGACTACTTTGTTGAGGCTAGAAGGAAAATGAATATGCAGAAAGATATACCTTAAGGTCCCGCATGTTTCCTAAAGATAGGCCGCTAACTCAAGTTCTGAGCTTCCTGGACACTGAGGCAGAGAGGAACATGATTTTGAAAGAAGTGGCGACCATCAAATAAAGTACAGTTCTTTAGGCCCATCCCCATTTTTCTAGGCCCCAGGGCCCAAGAGAAGTTTCTCTGGAGCATCCACATCAGGAGGTTACTGAGTGGTATTGTGGTAATGTGGTCCATGACAGCCTGTGATAAATACCCTAGGGGCTTGCCTGGGGCTGCTGCTAGTAATAGATTGCCCTTAATAAAGAGAGCGTAGCTCAGGAAACATGATTCCAGGGGGCCAAACAGTGCAGTGCAGGCTCACAGCTCTCATGGTCTGCTGTGGGAGAATTTAGATTATTTAGAACAGTATTTTCCAAACCATTCCACAAAACTCTAGTGATACATCGATAGTCTATGACAACAAAATAGATACTAGAAACATTTAGTGTCTAACATTAAAAAATAGAAGGAAGAAAAATGTTAAGCACATCTACGTAGTTAATATTATTATGCACTGATCCTTAAAGGAGGATGCAGGAGGTCTGTGAGAGATCTCCCATCCCAGCCTGCAGGACGTGCAGCCTCTGAGCCACGTGTGCTGCTGGCGCTCACATCTCACCATCAGCGTGTGTGCTATCTGTCCAGAGATCGCTGCTCTACGCTATGTACCTTTTCTTACCTGTGATTCTTGTGTGCAGCGCATGGCATACATTAATCATGAATCAAATTTCTATCATTCCTTGCAGCAGTGAATTTGTCCGAGAGGAGATTTTTTATTGTCTACTTTCATCCAAGCATGCATTACCGCTCATGGTGTTCTGTCAGCTTATTGTAATGCTGAAAATGTTCTGTGATCAGATCAATTCAGGAACTGCTGATCCAGGGGAATGGCTGGCCCACAGGCCTTCAGTGAAGCAGTGGTCCGTGAGCTGTACTGCCAGAGGGTTCAAAGCTATGGTCTTGGGTGATGTGCCGATTAGGGCTCATCTAGGTATGTCTAGAATCCACTACGCAGACCACGGGGTGAGCGTTCTCTTATGGAAACTGAGGCACCCACCAGGACCATGGCTCTGAAGGTGTCACAGCTCTCACTTCCTCATGGAAGGGGGTTGGTGGAGCCAACAGCTGGTTAAAGGTTTGACTTACGTTAAAGAAGGTGAAGCACTTGTCTTTGTGTTAACGGAAGGATGTTACACAGAGGCCACGGAGAACTTCCAAAAATAACTGCATATGTTGGATAATAATTACAGCTACAAACAGTTAGTGGTTACTATGTGCTAGGTGCTGCGCTAAGTCATTTGCATGCCTTATTTTACTTAATCTCCTCCAAGAAACTATAGAACAGATACTATTATTATCCTCTTTTTTATAGCTGGGAAACTGAGACTCACTAAGAGGTTAAGAATTTTTTTGATAAAATTGAGTGGAGCTGGCAACAGTATTTAGGCCAGGTTTTAGGTAATTCTAAAGCTGTTTGTAGCCTGCTGGATCTAGAATACTGTTGTGGCCTTTAGGGTGGCTGGTTTTATTAACTGTCAGTTTGGACCGAGGGAAGTCAATAGACACGTTCCTGGATTTTCCTTTTCTCTTTCAGCCTGTGAAGATGGATATAGGCTTGAAAATGAAACCTGCATGAGGTAGGCTCCGTGTTCATTTATTCTGATGAATTTGTTCCAAACCTTATTTAGAAGTTACTTAGGTAAATTGCCTCAGTTATTTCTTTTGATATTTGAAACTAATTCTTATTCTTTTTCTTTGTTGACTTGCAGTTGCCCATTCGGCCTTGGTGGTCTCAACTGTGGAAACCGTAAGTATGCAGCAGTCCCGAGTTCTGCGTGGGCAGGGCTGGCACGGCTGTTGGCACGCAGGGTGTCTGTCCCCTCCTCTTGTCCTCAGTTCACATCTGCTGTCTTCCCAGCTCCTGTGCTGGGAGGAAAGCAGAGCGCTCTCCAGGGGCTGGAGGTTTGTTGGGGAGATAAACACTTTCCTAAATAGCCTGATTGTGGAGTGTTAATCAGTACATTAGGCATGAGGTTTGAGGCAGAGAGGGAGGGACCACACCCAAGGAGAATAGAAGAGCCTCCTGGGTAGTTTCTTGGAGGGGATGGAATTGGAGGTTTGGGAAGACTTTGGCAGGTTTGGAGGGAGAAGGAATCCAGGGAGAGGGAACAACCTAAACAAAGGTCTTGGGGCAGTTTTGGGCCCGTGGTTTTCAGGGACAGTGTGTAAGTGGGTGTGGCTGAGGACAGAAAGAGAGGAAGGCGGAGAATGGGGGATTAGGTTGGCAGGGTATGTGGGGACCAAACTGTTGGGACTTTTGATGGAGTCTGAGAGTTTAGGTTTTAATCAGTAGCCACCGTGGCACTAGCAAGAGTCTTAGAGCAGGAAAGCAGTTTGATCAAGAAAATCCAGTCGGGCTGCCGTGAGGAGGACAGAGGAGAACGTGGGGCCGTTTAGACCAGTATCGTCAGGGCGAGGGTCAGGGCTGGACGCAGACTGGGGGGCTCCCCTGCTGCTAGCTGACGTCCATGCTCCCAGATACAAGAGGGTTGAGTGGCGGTGACTGTGCACATGGCAAATTTCACAGTTAATTCACTTCTTTGAGAGAAGCAGTTGGGATTCATTCCAGATCACTTTCACTGACATTTTCTTATACTGAGACCTGAGAAATTACAGTCACCCTCAAAATTATTGAAAGAAATTCTGGGATATAGGATGTAGCAGGAATAGTAACACTCAGTATTTTAGGACAGCTTTGTCCCTCATTCCATAGAACCTGCCAACAGTCCATATTCTAAGTTTACTAGACCACAAGTAGACGTGACTTTATTTAACAAGAGGTGCTCCCCTCCCCCCATCAGTCAGAAATTCCAAGTGTTTTAAAAGCTCTTATGCCAGAAATGGGGCGGGGGGTGAAGACTAGATAGATATTTCTTTTTTTTTTAATTATTGATTTTATTTATTTATTTAAATTAATTTATTTATTTGGCTGTGTTGGGTCTTCGTTGCTGTGCGCGGGCTTTCTCTAGTTGCGGCGAGTGGGGGCTACTCTTCGTTGCGGTGCGTGGGCTTCTCATTGCGGTGGCTTCTCTTGTTGCGGAGCACAGGCTCTAGGAGTGGGCCTCAGTAGTTGTGGCACGTGGGCTCAGTAGTTGTGGCTCACAGGCTCTAGAGCGCAGGCTCAGTAGTTGTGGTGCACGGGCTTAGTTGCTCCGCGGCATGTGGGATCTTCTCGGACCAGGGCTCGAACCCGCGTCCCCTGCATTGGTAAGCGGATTCTTAACCACGGCGCCACCACGGAAGCCCTAGATATTTCTTATTATGGCACAATATCACGGGTGTACTTGGTTTTATAAGAGCGTGAGTGAGACAAGGTGACGGGCGTGGAGATGTGACCATCTCGGGGTAGGGAGCAGGGGGTGAGAGAGCCCACCTGCCAGTCCTCCCGGGGCCCCTTGGCCCTGACAGGCCTCTCATAGGATGAGCCAGTACTTCTAACCTGCTTGTAGTCAAACAGCTCCCTAAGTAGGTTTTACTAGAAAATGCTTCATATTCCTCAGGAAATGGAAGAGGGAAAAGCCCTAGAAAGGGTTGAAGGAAAGGGGAGTGAGCTGCAGGGCGTTGTTCTAAGTGGCAGTGAGTGATTTGCTTTTCAGAGATCATTAACTACTGTATACGTGGAGAGGATTTACCACTACATCCACTGACTGTTCTGTGAGTTCCTGTGTCTCCGCGTTAGGGGGGGTCGGGGTCTTGGAGGTAGCAGAATTTCTCTCTGTTCCTGAGACTTCTTTTTGCTCCCTTTTACCCGAGTCATCACGATGATGTCCAGCAGAGGGCAGACTCCAGCCTGGAGGGCTAGCTCCCGGTTAACTCTGAGGGTGTGAATACCACTTTATGACTTCGATATCAGTCTTAATGTCAGTGTTGCAAAGCAATTAATAGTCACTGATAATAAATAGCACCTGCCAGTGGCCCCTTTCTCTGTGGTCTCAGATCAGCCCTGGTGTGGGTTAAGGAATCTGGAGCACCTGAATTTCATCCCCACCTGTGGTGATAACACCGTGTGAATTCTGTGGCTTGTCACTCAGTGTTTTGTGCCAAATAGCAGAGCAGAGCTCTCACCACCCACCCCTGTCCCTTCTGCTGTCACCACCAAAGACAGTAAGTGCCTTCTTGGAGGTCTGGCTCAGGCTGGATCTTTTATAGAAAAGAAACACTGCTCTCTGCAGGCTTCTGGTGACACACACTCTGCTGCCCAAGCCCCGTGAGATGGGGAGCCCAGCTCTGTCCAGCCACGCACGTGGCCCTGTGATTCCCTCACGCCTACATTCCTGGGAGTCACCCAGCTCTAATACATTCTGGCTGCAGGCATAACCTCTGACCTGCCTTTCTAAAAGTCCCTATTAGCTTTCTAGTGGTGCCCAGATTTCACCTGTCGCTCCTCATAGAGAATATCCTTCAGACTGGAGCTGGCAGGACAAGCTCTCCTCTCAAGCCCCTGAGTCCCTGAGGCGGTGCGGGCCCAGCTGGACCCCTCTGTGCACCTGGCAAGGCTGCCCACACCAGGCAGTGCAGGGCTGCACCTGTCTTATCACTGCTCGTTTTAATTTTCTTTCCATGTAAACTATGCCTCTTTACGCCACAGATTCCAACAATCCTGTCCTCTGATACCACTCATCTGATGGCCCCAGGATTCTTACAGACTTGTTGTCGCAATGTCCCTCACTCCCCCTTGCCTCTTCAGCCTTTTTTAGGTGTGCGTGTTTCCTCCTTCGCTTGAGTTTTATAGAGGCTCCTCCTCACAGTTTTATTATATCTCTCATGACCTTGTGGTTTGCTTCACCTTTTTACTCTTTTTAAAGTAAGTGAATTTTGTCTTTTCATGACGTAAAAACAACACATGCCCATTAATTTTCCTTCTTTAACCCAAATTAATTAGAAAATAGATAAAAGGGAAGAAGAAAACTAAAATAAAGCCTTATCACCCATGAAACACATCACTCTTAATACCCTGGTGTATATCCTTGCTACTAATGCTGGTCAGTAGCACCAGCAGAAGCCACAGCACCTAGGACCTTGTTAGAGATGCAGCATTTCAGGCCTCTCCACTCCAGACCTACTGAATCAGAATCTGAATTTTAACCAGACCCCTAGATTTGGTTAATATGCAGATTTGTGTACATATATCAAAGTTTAGGAAGAAGTATACCAGAGGTATGTACGTGTGTGTCTTTTTAACAGAAATTGGGTCTCACAGAACAAACTGTTGTGTAACCTGCCTTTAAGCCTAGTCAACTGTACAGTGTTTTCATTTACATAATTTTATGAAGCCACTTTTTTTTTTTTTTTTTTTTTGGCGGTACGCGGGCCTCTCACTGTTGTGGCCTCTCCCGTTGCGGAGCACAGGCTCCGGACGCGCAGGCCCAGCGGCCATGGCTCACGGGCCCAGCTGCTCCGCGACACGTGGGATCTTCCCGGACCGGGGCACGAACCCGTGTCCCCTGCATCGGCAGGCGGACTCTCAACCACTGCGCCACCAGGGAAGCCCTATAAGGCCACTTTTGATAGTTCTGTGGAATTCTACTCTCTGGATATATCATAATTTACTTAACCACTCCCCTCTTACCATCAGTTTTAAATCTTTCTTTACAGTCCCATCCTCTAAGCCGTTCTTCTGTTTGTGGTTATTGTCACTTTGTGATGATAGAACACACATAATTTTCCTAGATTACCTTTTTCTGGCCGCAGACATTTTTATCCATCCCTCCTTCTTATCCACACCAGTCCTTCTGTAGGTCATCCTTTCCATTCGGATGTCCTGCGTCTCTCCAGTGGAGACTCACACAGCCAGC